GGGGCTTGTGGGAGGGGTGGGGCCAGCAGAGAAGGGAGTGGGGCTTGTGGGGAGGGGTGGGGCCAGGCAGGAAGGAGGCAGGGCTTGTGGGGAGGGGTGGGGCCAGGCTGGAAGGAGGTGGGTCCTGGTGGGTGGGCAGGGCTGGCAGGGCAGGGGAGGCCTGAGTTGGGAAGAAGGGGAGTTGGGCTGAACAGAGCAGGAATGGAAACAGCTGGGCGGGGGTGGACAAGGATGGTGCAAGGGCTCAGGGATGTGTGGGGATGTGCAGGGACAAATGGATGAGTCCAGATGGGACAGGACAAGGACCTGGTGGGGCCACCCTCCCCCTCTCCCCCACAGCCTCCCCAACCCGTCTCCTCCCCCTGCAGGTTCTGGTTCCGCCTCTACTGGTTCCCACTCAAGGTCCTGTATGCCACGAGCCACTGCAGCCTGCGCTCGGTGCCTGACATCCCCTTCTACTTCTTCTTCAACGCACTCCTGCTGGTGCTCACCATCTTGAACCTCTACTGGTTCCTGGTGAGTCGGCCGCCCGCAGCTCATCACCCAGTGCTCCTCCTCAGCCAGCAGGCCTGTCCTGGTCCCCGAGCCCGTCCCCAGGCAGTGGTCATGCAGGCCCTTCTCAGGCCCGCCCGGGTGGGGCATGTTAGGCATCGAGGAACAGCAGGTGCAGAGGACCTCTGGCCAGAGCACAGGGCCACCAAGAGGGCGGCACCGTCGGGAAGGATGTTTTCTCACCTGTGCCTTCCCCTCCCACAGTACATCGTGGCTTTTGCTGCCAAAGTGTTGATGGGCCAGGTGCGTGAGGTGAAGGATGTGCGGGAATACGATGCAGCGGAGGCTCCAAGCCCCAAGCCCAGCAAAGCTGAGTGAGTGTGGAGGGGCCGCCGCCCCGGGTTCATTCCTTTAGCCACATCTGTCCCTCTGAGCACGTGTTCTGTGGGCGGGCCCGGGAGACACAGCAGCAGATGAGGCCGAAGCCAATGTGGCCCACCGGAGCCTAACGTCCAGATCAGAGACTGTAATAAAGACGTGGATGATGTGGTGACAGTTAGATGCTGTAAGGACAGACAGTGAGGAATGGGGTAGGAGGTCTGGGGTGAGCGGTGAGAATCAGGGTCTTGGTGGTGGGAGCAGTGCCAGAGCAGGTGAGCGAGGGCCCTGGGGGTGGTGAGGAACAGCCGTTGGCCAGACCAGACAGTAAACTCTAAGCAGGTGGCAGCGGAGGTGGGATGAGGGGGTGCCACAGGTGGCCTGGAGAGGCCACGCTCTGTCTATGCTGATGCTCCTTGGCCTCAAGGTCCAGCAGGGCAGCCCACTGGTCAGCCAAGCAGGAGCTGGGGCAAGGGGCTCAGGTGCAGTCTGGCCCAGGTGGGAGTCCTAGGAAAGAAGAGAAGAAGGGGCCTCGTCAGGCATCCTGGAGGTAGGGCCCTCGGGACTCAACAGCCTTGGGATGTGAGCCAGATGGTGTCCAAAGCCCCCGGCCTGGAGGGGCCCCGGGAGCGAGCAGAGGCAGGTTTGGGCGACCAGCAGGGTGTAGGGAGCATCGTGACGAGGCATCGTGAGGGCTGTTGGAGCCGGCGCCAGGCGAGAGGCTGCTGCAGGCCCACAGGGTACTAGCCCTGCGCACCCTCCGATTTGGCATCTGGGGCATCATCAGCGACCACCCTGGGAAAGGTGGTTTTGGGGAAGCAGTGGGCTCAGAGCTTGATGAGGTGAGTTGGAATGGGTGGCCAGGAGGATGAGCGAAGCAGAGATTTTCAAAACCTCCTTGAAAGACACGAGAAGGGGAGCAGAGAACTGGGGCATTGCCAGAGCGGAGGGTGGGACCCAGGAGGGCTCTTGAGGCTGGGTCTAATAAACAGAAGCACTTTGCATCCGCCAAGCATGAGACCACAGGCGAGGTGTGCCGAAGCCAAAAAGCCAGTGCCCGGGCTGGAGAGGGATCAGGCAGGTGAGTGGGGACGACATGAGAGGACTGGGCAGCAGGTGAGGTCGCCCTGGTGGTCAGATCCCAACTCTGTTGTAGAACCAACCAGACTCTCTTTGGATGTAGGCGAAACAGAAATAAAAGAATCAGAGACGACCCAGACTTCTGGCTCAAGCTGCCGTTCACCAAGATGGCACTTGGGGCAGGGCTGTGCATGCAGACGGGGGCAGTGTGGGAGTCTAGTTTAGGGGGTGATGGATCATCACTGTCCAGGGAACGTGAGTTGGGAATTCTGCAGAGACATTGGTGAGGTCTCACCAAGGAGTCTGACCCATCCTCAGAGGCTTCCAGAAGGAGCCGTGGCTAAAGAGAACTCCAGGGCTGGGGGAGGGCAAGCACTTGCTTGGCTGAATCTAAAAATTGGAAGGATCTTCTTTCTGTAAAACGGTGAACTTCTGGTGAAGATGTCCTTGTAAATTCAAAGCCCATGGCAAAGGCAGGCCAGCCCCCGGCCCCACCTGTTTGATCTCCCCTGAGAATGGGCCAGAATGTAGGCTGGGGGGCTGGCACCCCGCCTGCTCCTCCACTAGGATGTCCCAACATTTCCTCTGCGTGGAAATGACAGAGTGTACCAGGGGACACGCTGCCATGGTCGACCCCGTGGGCACCACCAGCAGAACTTGATTCCTCAAGGATGGCTGGAGTTAGTGCAGGTGGGTATGAAACGGGATGGGCTAAAACGCAATGCGAATACAGCAGAGCTGGTCAGGACACCTCAAAACCGCCAGGTCATGGAGACGAAGAAGACGGAGGCACTGTCCCAGATCAGAGGAGACTAAGGAGACGTGATGACTGAATGCAGTGTGAGATCCTGACCCAGAAGAACAACACCTTGGACAAACTAGTGAAATCGAAATGGCGTCTACGGTTTAGTTCATGGCAGTGTCCCAGCGTTGGTTTCGTAGCAGATGTACTGTGGAAGTATAAGATGTTCACATTCGGGGAAGCTCTGTAGTATCTTTGCAAGGCTTCTGCAAATCTCAAATTATTCTAAAATTAAAAGTTCATTAAAAAAATAAAAGGCATGAGAGACCATCAAAAATGGCACTGGATGTTATATTAGTTTTGGGGGGCCGTTGTAGCAAATGACCACAAACTGGGTGGCTTAAAACAATAGAAATTTATTTTCTCACAGTTCTGGAGGCCAGAAATCTGAAATCCAAGTGTTGCAGGGCCATGTCCCTCTGGCGGCTCTAGGGAGGAGCCTTCCTTGTCTCTTCCAGCTTCGGGGGCTCCAGGGCTCCCTTGGCTTGTGGCTGCGCCCCAATCTCCCTCTTCCATCTTCACGTGGCCTTCTCTTCTCTCTGGCTCTTCTTTCTTAGAAGGATATTGGTCATTGGATTTAGGGCCCACCCTAAATCCAGTATGATCTCACCCCAGATTCTTTTACTTAATTACATCTGCAAAGACTTTTTCCAAATAAAGTCGCATTCACAGGTTCCAGAGATTAGGACGGGGACATAGCTTTTCAGGGACCACCTCTTAACCTACTGGAGATGATAAGGTTCAAATGAGTAGAAGCAGCTGGAGAGAGCATCAGTCGAAAGCTGTGAAGAAATTACCCAAAATGCAGCATAAGCAGATGGGAAATATGAAAGCTAGAATTCTAAGAATTATCTAGTCTAGCGGAGTTCTAACAGGAGACAAGCAGGGAGAGACAAGATGAGAAGACATAATGCTGAGGATTTTCCAGAAAGTGACAAGACAGAAATCATAAGCAGGATGAATAAAAAGGCATCCATGCCCTGACACATCATAGTGAAAACGCCAAAGAGCCCCAGAACGGAAGAGATGACCTACAAAATAATGGCAGACTGCCAGCAACCAAGGATCTGGAGGACTGGGGGTAACATAGCCCCTCAGGTGCTGAAAGGAAGTCACAAGCAACTGAGAATTTCGTTCACAATTTCAAGAGATAGAACACCCTCAGGAACAAAATCTGAGAAAGTTGACCACCGTCACATCTTCTCTACACACATATTTCAGAAAAAAGGAGACTATCCCAAGGGGTAGGTCAGCAGAGAAATTGACACATATCTGGGTAAAAATGTTTAAATGCCTAATTTGAGAGATTAAAAAAATTAGAACTGAAGTATCAAACATTATTGAAACAGGTTTGGGGCTTTGCATTTTACAAGAGGCTGGGGTTACCTTTAGGCTGTACTAAGTACTTTTGTTAACACTGTTAGGGCGTAGAGGGAGAATGAAACAAAAAAACACAAAAATAAATGCAAAATAAAATAAGGGTAGAATCTCAAATATTAGGCATTCAAATAAGCATACATGGAATAAGCCTGACAGTCACGAGATTGGGTTCTTTTTTTAAATCCACCTCTATACTGATTAAAAGACTTCATCTCCATGGTACGCAAAAGTTGCCAGTAAAAGGACAGGAAGAGAAATCCAGGTGTAATTCTTGATCTGGAACGTTCCGCATGTCGCAGCCATGAAGCTCAGGGGGCCGGGGCCATGGGAGGTGGTCCAGGCTCGTGCTCATGGAGCAGCAGAGAAGCAGAGTGAACAGATGTTCTTACACACAGGAGCCTTTCTCAGAATTGACCAAGCCAAGCCCCGGGGGAAACCCCAGTCTCTCAGAACCAGGATCATGCAGACCGTATAGACGCAAACTCAGGTTTGAAAATGGTAAGAAAACTGACAAGAACCACTTTGAAGTAATTCAAGAGTCAGACACAAATCATGTGGTGACTAAGCAGCGCCGGCCCCTCCTCAGCCCCCCTGTCTTCCTTCCTGCTTCCCCAGTGGCTCTCGAATCCTGGGCCCCCACCCCAAGCTGGTTCTCTCTTCTGATCCCCCCACGGGGCCCCTGGTCATCTGGCAGACCACCCTCCTGGACCGACGCCTTCAGCCCGCTGGGCTGGTCCCCATGCCCTGCTCATGACCAGGCACCTCTGTCGGAAGCCCCCGTCATCCTCTCGGGGGGCTGCCGGGACCACTGGCCATCGAGGGGCCCTCAGCTGACCTGCCAGATGACACCCTCGTCTTCGTACACCCGCTTCCACCTCCACTGCACTTGTGGCTGCTCCACGGCCTCTGAAGAGCTGTGACCCGCACCTCTGGCCCTTGCTGCTGCGCCACCATGGGCCAGAGCACCCTTGGTGCCGCCCATGCAGTGCCAACGTGCCCACTCCTCCTCGGCCACCAACTGCCCTCACCATCGTCCCCTCCACCGGTGACCTGACCTCTGTGTCCCCGAGAAGGCAGGAGTGGCCAGGTGAGGACATCCACCCTCGCACTGTCCGGCCGCTTCAGTGGACATCCTGTCTCCCTCCAAGGCCACCATCCCGGGCCAGGGGTGTCCACACTCTTTCCTGCTCAAGATCGTCCCCATCCTGGAGAGAAGCCGCTCTCTCGGCCCTACCCCGCCAGCCTGGCCCTTTCGTCCCCCTCCACAGCACGGCTCCTCCCTCCCCTCCATCCTGGAACCTTCCTCCCACCTCCCCCTGAGACCCCTCCTGTCCAGCTCCACCCAGCTGTTATTGGTGCTAAACTGGGGTCACCTAACCATCTTTTTTTTCAATAATAGTTTTAGCGAGATAGCATCTACACACCATACAACTCGCCCACTTACTGTGTAGAATTCAGTGTTTTCCCTCCTTTCACAGAATTCTGCAACCGTCACCACAGTCTTAGAACATTTTCGTCACCGCCATAAGAAACCCCACACCCAATCCAGCGCCCCGTCACGCGCCCACCAGTCTCCTCTGCTCCCCACTTCCCAAGGGCCCCTTTTCGCCCTGATTCTGGTGCGTTCTTGCTCCGTCTTTGGCCTCCCCTCTCCCAGGGCCCCTTCACTTCATCCACCAGACTCCCCAATTTCTCTCCTGGCTCACAATGCTCCTCTGAGCTCCATCCTCTGTCTCCAGCATCTGCTTGATATTCCAAGCATCTTCTAAAATATCCAAAGTCAAGCCCCAACTCCCCCCACCCCCCAAACTGCCTCTCCTGAATGTTGGCCCATCGCAGGTGATGGCAACTTGGGGGCAAAAAACCTTGCAAAACCCTAGGGAGCCCCCTCTCCCTCTCCTCCTCGTCCTCGAGGAAACATCCAGAAGCTACTTGACTGGCCGCCTGCCTCATCTCCCTTTAGCCTCCCTCTCGCCGATTTCTTCCCTATGGTGTGCACCAAAACAGAAAGGTGCAAACCTGGCATCGTAGAGAGGCCACTCTCCCCCAAATACTAACTGTGTTTTGAGGGGAGAGGGGGCCCTTGGAAGCTTGTGCACAAAAAGCAACCAGAGTCATCAGGAAAACTGGTAAAAGGCATGGAGTGGGGGTACCAATCGCTGAAGGTATGGAACTTACTATAAAAGTATAGGAATTAAAACAGCACGGGAACCGAGCTGAGTCCACAGACGGAACAGACCCGAGTCCATCCAACTTCAGTAGATAATACAGATCGCCGGAGGGCAGCCATCTGGAGAGAACTCGCATCAGCTTCCAGGGCAAACTCCCTGTGGATCAGAGATGTAGATGCAGAAGCAGAAGCCAAGAATTCAGACCACAGCCAAAATGGGAGACTGTCGTCCAGCAATTGAACTATGAGAAGAATCGAGAAGTTGGGAACCCCACCGCTGCTCTGTCTGAAGGACCATCAGGCAAAGCCAGAAGATAAAGGACGGATGGGAGTTCCCGTGGGCTTATCTATGGCCACACAGGTAAAAGGCTCCTGCTGGTGGCAGAGAGAGAAAGAGCTACCACGGGGAAGAGGGTGCAGGGTACGAGAGGTGTCCTCCCAGGACAGGACAGCCAGGGGCTTCAGCCCAAGGGGAGAGCCAATGAAAGTGACCAGGACCGTCTTCTCCAGGAAAGTCTTTTGTTCTCGTATGAAAGGATCTCTGAGCTAGAGTGCTCCCGCGCACGGAGGGGTGCCGGGACGGGAATACCGCGGGTATCTGCGTGAGGACACACGGACGCTAGCACCGGCGGGCCCCGTGGAGTGGCTCAGGAGTGGAGTGTTCTGTGCTTTCTGATGTCTACGTTGTGGGGGTGTATTACTGGCTCAAAAATCGTAATGCATTTGTATGTAAACTAGACTATAGAACCTACTTCTACAAACAGATAGACCATGTGCAAAGGCATGAAGAGCGCCCGTAAGTGGGAACAGGAACCGCCAGTGGCCATGACCGTTTGGCTGCAGGGAGATGCCGTCTGGGCACCAGCAGGCCGGCCGATTAAACAGGATGCAGCCCCAGCACTAGCAAAGCTGCGAAAAGCAGGGGCAGAAACTCCTGCCGGGTCCTGTGGGGTGGCCTGGGCACACCTGCGGATCGCAGGGCCCCTCCCGGTGGGAACCCCAGAGACGGGCAGGGAAAATGGAGTTTACAGAGAGCAGCAGTGCACGGGAGAGATCTCGAACAGTGTTGTATTTGGGGGAAATTGAGGTGCAGGAGAAGACATCTTGATAGTTTTAAAGTGCAAACCACGAACATTGTTTAGAAGTTAGGGGTCTTTCTCTGGGATCTTAAGCTGGACACTTAACGTGCTGATTAGAGTTTTAAAACATCGCATAACTTGTTTTAAGAACATGGAAGGGAAGTTGGGGCTGCAGCAGAATGCACAGTGGGCAGTAGATGGCGAATCCCAGGGGCAGGGAAGCCTTTGCTGGTTGGGCTCCGACCCGGCCAGGACCACTGGAGCCGGGAGGAGCCTGCCCAGGCCGGCGTGGCAGGGGGCTCTGGGCAGCCCTGCCTCCCTGGCAGGGAGGGGATAAAGTGGCGGGTTATCCAGGTCGAGGCGGTGAGGTTAAGTCAGACGGAGGCTGGTCGGTGGCTTTTGCTCTCCAGCGGCTGTCCGGGGCCCAGGAGGGAAGGATGCTGGGAGGGGAGAAGAGGGTTTAATTGTGGGGAAGAACGGGGACGACGTGCTCACCAGGCGCACCGCGGGGTCTTTGGGCCCTGTGGGCAGGGACCGCGCGAAGCCGGCGCCCGGATGGGAAAGAAATGTGGAGGGCAAGACGGGCGGGTAGTCGGGGGCGTGGGGTCCGCTGACTTGGGCTGGGTTCTGGTCCACAGGAAGCCGCTGAGGAACGGCCTGGTGAAAGACAAGCGCTTCTGAGCCCCTCGACCCCCGCCCTGACCCCGGGGCCCCTGCCCCGCCCCAGACCCCGCCCCGGGATCGGTCCCTGTCAGGCTTCAGGACCACGGCCACGCCCCTGGGACCCTGACCCCGCCCAGCCTCGAACCCCGCCCCGGCCCCTCCAGGGACCCCGCCCCCGCCCCCAGCCCGCCGGTAGGGGGGCCCGGCGGCCCCTGAGCACTCGTCTGGCCGCTGCCTGCAAAGAAGATGCCAACGCTGCGCCGCCGTCCCGGCCGCCACTTCCTTCTCCTTCTCCTGGCCCTGCTGCTCCCCTCGCCACCCCCGGCCCGCGCTCCCGCATCCCCGGGCCCCGCCGCCGCCCTGCTCCAGGCTCTCGGGCTGCGCGAAGCGCCCCGGGGAGCCCCCACTCTCCGGCCCGTACCCCCCGTCATGTGGCACCTGTTCCGCCGCCGGGACCCCCAGGAGGCCAGGGTGAGCCCGCGGCGGACGCCCCCAGGGGCCGCCCTGCGACCGTGCCACGTGGAGGAGTTGGGAGTCGCCGGAAACATCGTGCGCCACGTCCTGGACCGCGGTGAGTGGGGCCCGCGCTGGGGGCGTGGGTCCGGGAGGCCTAGACCTCGCTGGGCGTCCCGGGCCATCACCAGCCTCGAGTGCCAGGTAGGGGAGGCTGGAGCGACTCTCAGTGTTCCCACCCGCCCCGTCCAGCCCACTAGCAACCTGGGAGTCCACGCTCCATCCACTCCTCCCCGTGGACACCTGCGGGGATCGGGGGAGCGGTCCTAAGCCAGGCTCCCTTGCACCGGGCAAGGCCCCTAGCTTGCAGCTGAGGCCCTGCCCCCATTCCACCGCCTGCTGCTTCACACCATTTGATGCCTTCCTGCAGATGCCACCCCGCCCCAGCTTCGCTTCCCCGCAGGCCCCAGGCGGTTGCTCAGCTCTCCCTGCTGCCTGTATCCCCAGCTGCGGGCAGGCCGACCTGCACTGGGCAGGGCCTCTTCTTTGCAAGCGATGCCCTGCCCCCACTCCATCTCCCCCCACCCCGCAGCTTCACACCATTTGACGCCGCCTAACAGATGGTGCGCCCCCCCGCCCGCCCCGCCCCAGGCGCTCACCTTGCCCCGGTCCCGGAATGAGATCCCTCGCGGCAGGCCGGGCACCGTGCGGGGACTCAGCGCGAGCCCAGCCCGCTCCCTGCCTCCCCAGGTGCGTCCTCCCGGCCCCCGCAGCCCGCCTCGGCCGCTGGGCAGTGCCCCGAGTGGACCGTCGTCTTCGACCTGTCGGCTGTGGAAGCCGCCGAGCGTCCGAGCCGGGCCCGCCTGGAGCTGCGCTTCGCGGCGGCGGGGCCGGCGGGCGGCTGGGAGCTGAGCGTGGCGCGGGCGGCCGAGGGCGCGGGCTCCGGGCCGGTGCTGCTCCGCCAGGCGGTGCCCGCCCTGGGAACGCCGGTGCGCGCCGAGCTGCTGGGCACCGCGTGGGCCCGCAACGCCTCGGCGCCGCGCAGCCTCCGCCTGTCGCTGGCGCTGCGCCCCCAGGTCCCCGCCACCTGCGCGCGCCTAGCCGAGGCCTCGCTGCTGCTGGTGACCCTCGACCCGCGCCTTTGCCACCCCCTGGCCCGGCCGCGGCGTGAGGCCGAGCCCGCAGTGGGCAGCGTCCCCGGGGGCGCGTGTCGAGCGCGGCGGCTCTACGTGAGCTTCCGCGAGGTGGGCTGGCACCGCTGGGTCATCGCGCCGCGCGGCTTCCTGGCCAACTACTGCCAGGGTCAGTGCGCGCTGCCCGCCGCGCTGTCGGGACCCGGTGGCCCGCCCGCGCTCAACCACGCCGTGCTGCGCGCGCTCATGCACGCGGCTGCCCCCGGCGCCGCCGGCCTGCCCTGCTGCGTGCCCGCGCGCCTGTCGCCCATCTCCGTGCTCTTCTTCGACAACAGCGACAACGTGGTCCTGCGGCACTACGAGGACATGGTAGTGGACGAGTGCGGGTGCCGCTGACGGGCGGGGACGGGGCCCAAAAATAAACAAACACTGCGTGGTCGGCTCCCCGTCTCCTCGTCCTGTCCCCGGGGCGGGGCGGAAGCCGCTGCATCCATGGCGATAGGCCGTTAGGGTGATGGGGGTCCTACAGAGAAGACGGGGGTTCCTGGCGACCCATCTCCAGGCGCCCACCCTGGGAGCTGCCCTCCACTTCCGAGGGGCCAGGTCCCCGGAGTCCCTGCTGTGCAGGTCCCACCTCTCTCAGCTTTGCCAGAGGTGGCTCAGAGTGCCCCCACCCAGCCAGCCCCACCCAGACCAAGTGCTCTGCCACCTTCCTGCACTTTATCCAGCCCGAGTGTGAACGCAAGAGCTGTTCATTAAGATTTTATTGGTGACAAAAGAGCTTAAAACAAATTGACCAAAAATCAAAGTTACATTGCACTTGGTACAGATGTGCCTCGATTTGAAAAACTCAGAGAAACTGCTGCCGTGAAGGTGGACAAAGCAAACAGCACAAAGCAGAGGCAAAGCATTCCAAGAGGGCAACAGGGCTGGCGGGGTGTTGTCCAGGGGGTGTCGCACAAAGGATCACAGCAGAAACCTACCCAAGCTCTATGCCTCTATGCGGCCTACCCAAGGAAGGTGGACCCAGCAGCTCCACAGCAGTGGAAGGTGGCCTGTGTGCCCCCGACTCGCCCGTGAACAAGCTGGAATCTAGAGGCTCTTGGATGAGGCCCAGCATCAGCCACACGGGGATGGGGAAGCCGGGGCGTCAGGGTCACCAGGGCTTGGGTAGGCAGGGGATGGCCCCCAAACAGGTGGCCACCAGGGAGACATACCCCACCATGGTGTGCAAGGAGCTGGAGGTCGCACGCTCTCAGCCGCCAGAACTTCTCAAGCTGCAACCCAGACCCAAGCCCCTTGACCAGCTGATGTGCCAACTCCTCCAAGCCCCTTTGGCACAGAACCAAGTTATTTCTGAAACGTACTCCCTTCCCCCCAAAAGCAGAAACCACCCCCTCATTGAAGCTGTGCCCAGAGGGGTTGCAAACTTGGAGAGTGGGGTGAAAAATAAGGGGGGTGCTCTGTGTGTCTAACCGGCCACAGGGACGTAGGCATCTCCCTGGGGATGGGTCCTCTTGGCTGCTGTCTTCTGCCAAATCCTCAGGAAAGACCCTGGGGAAGAAGCCCTGGCCAGGGAGCAGCCACCTTCCCACACTCCGGCCTCTTGGCCTTCCTGGGGGGCCCCTCCTGGGGGCCTGAGTCCACCACGTGTGGGAAGCACTTTGCTTCTCCGAGTCCAGCGGGGACCGTGGAGCTGCCTGGCCCGGGATGGTGCTCCCTCACTGCCTGATGCACAGGGAGAAGCCACCGGAAGCTTTTTAAAAGTGAAAACGAAAATCCTCTCGATCAAGTCACAGGTGTTGATCCTAATCTCGAATTGTGTCAGCTCATTTAAACTTCATTTCTGGAAGGTTCTCGCATTTCCCAGGTCCACCACTAAGATTTGAGAGACAAACTCAGGAAAGTATGTTTTTCAGTACTCCTTTGAAAGAATCTTTAAAAAACAAACAGAAAAACCCAAAACACCGTATTTTCTTTAAATGAAAACCTTCTTAGAACACAGGCAGTGTGGCCTCGGCGGTCTGTCTGGGAGTTGGCTGGCGTGGACAGAACCCGCACCTCCTTGGGCCCTCCTGGCCCGGCCACCACCTGCAAGGAGCCTGCTCAGCACAGAAATGCAAAGTTGTTTCCTGCTAAAACGTAGTCCCCTTTCAATAAAAGAGAAAAAGAAAAAAAAACAGAGGAAAGGGCTACTCTGAGATGAGGGTCCTCCTCCTCTGCCCCGGTCGCAGACCCAGGTGTGGATGCGGCGAGCACTGGGCCTCCTCGGCGAGTGGGGCTGGCGGGGCTCAGGCGGGCTCCGCGGCCGGCCCCGCCCCTCTCCCTCTCCTTCTCCTCGCCGCCGCCGCCGCGTGCCAGCAGTGGGCGCCCACTTGGCCTCGGGCTCCTCTTCCTCGGTGCTCCTCTCCCTCTCCTGTCGCTCACAGTGGTGCTTCAGTTTTAGCAGTGGAAAACAGGTATCCATTTATTTTTATTTTTTATTACCCAGAATAAGATGCTGATGGACTAAGCCACGGAGCTTAGCTCTTCCGCCGCCACCTGTGGGGGGGGGGGGGGCGCAAGAGGCATCAGAGAAGGCAGGAGCCCCAGCTTTCCCCACACCTGTGTCCTTACCTGTGAGAGGGCCCTTCAGATGCTGGCCGGCACCCTCGCAGACCAGTGACTACCCACTGAGAGAGAAGGTAAACCAAGAGCTAAGGCTACTGAGCCTGCGCTGTAGCAACAGTGCCCTCTCCCAGCTACACCAGCACCCCACTTTCCCATGCACAGGGGGCCCCAAGCCCACACTGATCCGGTCACGTTAGACAGCGAACCACGTGCAGAGCCCTTGCAGGCACCTAGAAGCACCTCTTCCACAGGTGCCCATGTGTCAGGGACCAGGAGCCCTGTCACCTGTCAGGGAGGAGTGGGTGGTCCTCCTCACTGCCCACCTGGGTGGTGGCTGCAGGTCCCCCAAATCTACTCCTTTCTCGGGGAGCTCTAGGACTCTCTCAGGAGAGGACCGTGACTCAGGGAAGTGTGCATAAAAGCTCACGTCCCCCCGCCACCGTGAGCAGAGGCATAGGGACCTGAAGGGACAGGTCACAGGACAAGCTGGCCCCTTGGGGACTTGAGACCCTGACCCCACGCTTCCCAAATTTCCCCACAATTCCAGATTCCCAGTGAAGACCTCCTCCAGGGGTTGGCTTACCTTCTAGTACTGGGACAGCCCCGTCACTCCGCCGTGCTGGTATGCCCGCTCCCCCTGGTATGTGGAGTCTTGCGACAATGCCACATCTATCTGTGACTTAAACTCATCACCAAGGTAACTGTCCTGAAAGACAAGGTTGAGGAGATGAGCACCCACAGTCGGAGGACACACTCACGTCCTCCCAGGCTCAAGAACCTGCTCCTCATCTAGTCCCTCAGAAGAATCTAGAAAACCCTGTTCTCAAGCCTAAATGGCAGGAGACCCACACTGGTTACCTCATCACAGGAGAGAGCTCAGACCAGCTGCCCAGGACTCTTCTGAAGGGTAGTGTCATGGATGGAATGTTCTAGACTTAGGGTCCCACTGCTAAGGGCATGCCTATGTAGGAGACCATCCTCCTTCTGAGTCTTCAGGGGTGAGCATCGTGGGGTCTGTGTGTGTGGAGAGGGGTCCCTGGGTTGGCCTGACTTCCCTACAGGTGTGAGACATTTCAAGTTCAAGTGCCGGCCAGCTGCTCACCTGGGACAGCTCGGGCTGTGAGAGGCCAGGCTGGCTCATCTGGGAGGGCTGGCTCATGGAGATGTAGCCCTGGGTCAGCGCGCCCTGCGAGAAGGGCTGGGATGCCACATCCTGGCTGGCCTGGCTGTTCGGGAGATTCGTCTGGCTGGGCCCAGGAAGCCCAAAGCGGTTCTTCTGGCGTCCCCCACGACCAGTCTTGCCTTTTGGAGTGCCCCGGCCTAGAAAACAGCAGTCCAGGGTTCCTTGAAGGAGGTTCTGGGCCTCATAAGCAAACACACCCGCTCAAAGCCCGGATGTGAACAAACTCTCATGCCAACGTGCGTTTCCCCACGCGATGCTGCCAGGCACTCACCTGCGGCTGGCCCGTTAGCTTGTCCAAAATACCCCGGTGGAGGCATGGGCGGCATGACCAGGTTGAAGGGGATGGGAATGTTCATGGCGGCCACATGGCTAGGGCCAGCACTGATCATGCCGATCTGGTCGTGGGTCTGGAAGTACATGTTCGAGGGCCGGCCTGCAAGACACAATAGGGGCAGCAGGCGTCACCAGCCACATCCAAATGAGCCTGTTGCCCACCTCCAAATCGGCTTGTCTGCCTCGTCCTGCACTGCCCGCCCGGCGTTCCCTGGTGCCCCCACAGCAGAGCCACCTGGAGCAGACCCGCACCACTCCATCCCAGCTCGCAACAGCGTCCCGGGGCTAGCGCCTGGGCATGCGCCTTTTCTCCCAGTAGACTCAGAACAACTGGCCTTACAGGAATCTGAAAGATTGAAAATGGCACTACATTTCCAATTTTTAAAAAAAACTCCTTTTTATGGCAAGTTTTACATTCATATTGCACATACCTTCCCCTCTTCCTCCCACAAAGGAAGAAAACGCCTAAGGTCAATAGACCAGCAGATCCCACTGAAGGCAAGGGCTCCCAGTGCGCCCCTGGGTCTAGGGACGCCTGACCTGCACAGAGCGGCCTGGGGGCGGGGAGACCAAAGAGAGCCGGAGCCCAAGAGCGTGGTCTTCCAGGTTGGCCCCCCAGGGCCGCAAGCCTACGCCAGGCCCATAGCGGACTCAGGGATGAAGAAGGGACCCAAGACGCCCTTAGAGCTACAGGGTGACTCGCTGGATGTGGCAATGAGATTTGTTGTCATCAAAGAACGTGATCCACAGTCTGAACCCAGCAACCAGGAGACTACTGGAACAAGGAAATGGGGCTTGTGCCAATTTAAGGTGAGAGAGGAGCAGCTGGGGTGCACCTGCCCTCAGGGTGGACAGCCAGCACACAAGGGGATGAAGCCCAAGGTAAAACGTGGGCAGGGGGCACCGAGCACTTGGGCAAGGTTGTCACCCTCAGTGGGGGCTGGCACAGGGAAGGGTCCTAGGAGGCAGGGACCTGGGGAGAAATGGAGACCATCTAGATGGACTGGCTCAGGCAGGAGGAGGTGTGCCGGGCTCAACCTTGGGACAGAGAGCCCACGTGGGAAACGAAGATGTACACCCAACTCTGAGGTCTGACAGCGCACGCAGAAGCTTCAGGAAGGCAGCAACACCTGAAAGGAGGCTGCAGGCCCCCTGGAGGAGCTGCAATGTAACCTTCCCTGAGAGGTGAGCCAAGGGCGGGGCACGCGGGCCCTGGGACAAACAGGCAGAGTGGCAGGATTTGCTCAGACACCACCGACGCAGAGCCGTGTGACTCAAAAATCATCTTGCTTTTAGAAAACTGCCAGAGACCAATTCTTTGATTCCAGACAAGGGAAGCTGAGAAGGAACTCTGTCAGGCAGGTTTCTGTGGACTGAAGCTTGGAGGCCACCCCAGGAGTGACAGGGTGGGAAGCTGCAGGTGTGGGAACGGTCAACACACACAGGGCGGCTGGTCCCCCCCAGAGCAGACTCACCCTGGCTGCTCCGATCGTAGACCGATCCTGGAATAATGGCCTCCCGGGCGTCATACATGGCTGTCGTCATGAAGCGGGCTCCCTGCAGAGAGTTTAGATGGGTGAGGAATTTATCATCTTGACACAGGAAGAACTTTCCAAGATCTGGTGGCCTGGGGGTGGTGGGGCTGTGCCGAGGCCAACCCTGAGGCTTGCTGACCGTGTGCTTTGGGTCTTGCTGGCCCCTCCTGAACCAACCAGGCTTTTGACACTGAACATTTCAGCCTCTGGGCTTTGGCTCAAGCAGCAGCACACCCCCTAAGCCCCCCAGAACACCCCAGTTCACAAGGTTTTCTAATGGCCTGTGTCCCACTCCCAGACGCTACCCATGACTTGGCATCTGCTAAGGCTCAGGCCAAAAAGGCCTTAGAACGCTCGGGAGACCTGCGTCGGGGGCTCCATGGAGCACAGCACACATCACTTCTGTCCACACTGAGGTGTGCACCCACCCTCATTCAGGCTCACCACCACTGACACCTGCCATCCCTCACTGCCACGTGTCCAGAACACTGGCCTAAGGAGAAAAGGGCTTCCTGCCCTGCTCTGAGACCCTCTCTGTGGACGAGAGGTGGGGCTGGCCCGAGCGTGCGGGGGACTGGCAGATCCTGAGTCCCCATTCCTAAGGTGCATGGGTGCCCCCCTCCCGCCTGCTACAGTGTCACTAAGCCCCTGAAACAAGGGAGGGATCACGGGCTGCTGACTAGGGTCAGAGCATCTTATATGAGGTGAGACGCGAGAACTTCCCCCTCCAACTTATTCTGGCTCAGGTCAGGACCACGAGGCAGGCCCTGCATCCCCCGCCCGCCCTCCTGGCGCTCACCGGGTTGATGGTGTTGACCAGCTTCCTGGGCTTGCTGAACTGCATGAGGCTCTCCCGCAGGTTGTTCAGGGGCCCCTCCACCAGCACCTTCTGCTCCTTGTAGTAGTTCAGCAGGTGGTTCCAGAGCGGCTGCTTGGACAGGGCCTTCGGGTTGCCCACAATAATGACCCCGTATCTACAAGATGCAGGCACAAAGAGTGCAGTGCTTAGGTCCACGTGGTGAGCAGAGAGAGCACCAAGTGGAACAGTCTGGGGCAAGGTAGAACCAACTCAAAACCCAAATCCCAACATCAGGAGCCAAGCCCGGGTAGCTCTCCTGGCACGCCCCCCACCCACCTCCTCACCACGCAGGAGCCTGGGAGGTCACTAGCCCATACACCAGGCCAGCCCCGGGCCACTCTCGACCTCCCTGCCCAGACGCCTGTGACAGCGCCCACCATGAGTGCTGGGGATGGGCGGGCACACTGCTGGCCACGGTGACCGCCCTGGAGCCCACCATACAGCTGCTGACACTGCACTCAGGTCTATTTGGGGGCGGATTTATGAGTAGCCCAGACATCAGAACGGCTCAGAGACGAGTGTCCTTGTTTGCAGCCATGGGTACCAGGTCATCAGCCGCCTCACAGACCCTCATGGGCCAGGGTACATAACTTGATGCCCAAACCTCGGCCTGGCTTCCAGTGGATGCTCACCTTCACCCACCTGTGGCGGGGACCCCCCAACCCCACTGCCGGCCACCAAACAAGAGGGCACCATTGAAAGGGAGTAACAAACAAAAACCAAAACCAAGGTGCCCTGAGGGAAAGGAACCAGCCTGTGAACATGAGCCCCGCTTCCAGCTGGTAAGGGAGTGGGCATCGTCTGGGGGCCATATGGGGGCCAACCTGTTCTCTGGGTCCCTTCTGCTATTAGTGCTTTTTCAGAAAAGTTACATTCTAGAGCCAGAATAAGCAGACAGGACCAAAATGTCAGACTTGCGGATTAAACAACCAGACGGGACACACACCCTGCCGCCGCTGGGTTTGCCTTTCCCGCGAGACCAAGGCCATAGAAAACCACACGGAAACAAAGATGACTCTCAGGTGAGACATTTTTTCTAAATTGCTGCTGGGAGCTCTCTGACCTCTGACACCGGCAAAGGGCCCTCCCTACTGAGCTGCCAGCCCCAGGTGTGGCTAGGACAGGAGGATTAGTAACCAGGAGAACCACGCAGCAAGGGGCCTCTTGGGCCGGCCCTCCCAGGCCCAGACTCCAAGGGAAAAGTCTCTCGGAAGGACTCCCCAGCAGAGGGCCCAGCAGGACTCAGCCCTCCATACCGCGCTCTGGTCAGGGCCACATTAAGCCGTCTGGGGTCGTTTAAAAACCCAATGCCTTGGTGTTCATTGGCCCGCACGCAGGAGAGGATGATGAAGTCCTTCTCACGCCCCTGGAATGCGTCCACGCTGGCAATCTCCACCTCCTGCAAGGGGCACACGGTCACGGTCAGCCAGGAGGCTGCCTCCAAGGAGCCCCGACTGCAGGAATCGTTTCAAGATGCACCATCAAATCCCACCAACGAGCCTGGGACCTGAAGCCACAGAGCCCCAGGCTGTTCCCTGTGCCTCCACTGCAAGGAGGTCTAGGTCGGCGCCTACGGTGGCCCCGCGGATAGCCCGAGCACGCACCTGGTAGAGCTTGGTGTGCAGGGAGCCGCTGAACTGCATGTACTGCACCAGGTAGGAGCGCTGGCCCTCGTAGGGCGTGATGATGCCGATCTGGTCTGGTTTGGCACCAGCCTTCAGCAACTTCGTGGTGATCTTCTCCACGTTTGCGGCTTCCGTCCTAAGAAAGCCAGGCTTTCAGTGCCGGGGCTCCGCCTGTGGGCTCCTGATGCCCGAGGCCGGAGGCTGAGGGAGGCGTGGGGCAGCTCTGCCTCCAGCGCAGCCCAGTGAAGGCCCTGCCCAGTGCCCGATCCTCGACTGACAGAGTCACAAGAGGCAGAAAAGGCCCACACATGGCCTTAGAAAGGACCTGCTCAACAAGAGAACACGTACTGAAAAGATGAAGTGGAAACACTCGGTTGGTTTAGGTGTCTGAACAGAAGGGGGAGGAGGAAGGCAAGGAAAAGTTTCAGCACTAGGTTAAAAGACACCCAACAGGTCAGTGGCCACTCACCAAGCTGCCTGTGAAGCCAGCAGACACGCCGGGCAAGTCCCTGCTCACCTGTTCAGGTAGGAGGTACCCGAGCTGGCGATCTCCTCCTGGCCCTGGGTCACGTAGAAGAACATCGGCTTATCGGGTTGGGGCCACTGGAAGTCAAACCCCTTCTTCACACGGTCCGCTGTTGTTGGGGACAGAGAAGAGGCCACAGTTCAGTCAAAGAAGAGGCGGCCAGTCTCGACTGAGCTGAGACAGAGCAGCGCCGAGGCTGCGCCTCAACGGCAGAGGCCAGGTGGCAGAGCAGGCCAACGGCAGGCTCCAGGCAAGAGACCCAGGTCTGTGGGGCCCCAGAGAGGCCACCCGAGCGAGTCCCCTGCCCAAAACACCCAAGACTGAGTGAGGCGTGCACACTCAGCACCGTGTCTGACACAGAGCCGGCTCACTCACTGAACGGATCTTTCAGTGCTTTCTGTGGCCTGTTTAAGAAATCTTTGCCTGCCCCAGGGTCACGAAACTATTCTCCTTTTCCTTCTAGAAGCTTTACTGCTGTAAGTTCAAGAACCCATAAGCCCCTCCAACTGATTCTTGTGGGTGACTGCTGAGCCGACCCCGCCCTGACACAGAGCAGGGCCTGAGGTCGGCGGGTGTGCCTCTGGACTCTATCCTGGGCACCGTGTCACAGTGTCTCAGCAACTGCAGCTTTGCCTACAGTAAGTCGTGATGCCTCCGAGTGTGAGCTGCCACCTTCTTCAGGCCCTTCCTGTTCGCGGTCCTGTGCATAACTTAAAAATCACCTTGTCAACTCATACAACCCGCCCATCCCTTTGGGATTTTGACTGGAACTGCATCTAGTCAACAGGTCAGCATGAGAAAACTGGCTTATAGCACCTCACATGGATGAAGGAAGCCTGACCAGTGAAGGTGCGCTGTATGGTCCCCTTTATGTCAAGCTAAGGCAAGGACTAGCTGGTGAGCTTGGTGCCGTGAGCCCAGCAGCAAATGTTTAACCGTCTGCTGGGGGCAGGGCTGGTCTGCAGCATCTGCCAATTGTTGTGGTATAAACGCCCCTGCCAGAGCTGTGTGAGGCTACTCCGTATCAGTGGGTCTGCGCTGACACCAGCACTGCCCTGAACAGGGGTCGCCTCAGGGCTGAAGGGGGCTTCTGGGAGCTGGTTAGGTTGTGTTTTGGGGTTCAGGTGCTGGTTACATGGGTGTGTTCACTTAGTGAAAACTCACTAAGCTGGATGGTTAAGACTTGGGCGCCTTCACACTTCAATAAAGAATGTTCGGGGCCGGCCCTGTGGCCTAGTGGTTAAGTTCGGTATACTCCACTTTGGCAGCCCAGGTTCAGTTCCCGGGCGTGGACCTACACCACTTGTTGGTAGCCATGCTGTGGTGGTGACCCACATACAAAATAGAGGAAGACTGGCACAGATGTTAGCTCAGGGTGAATCTTCCTCAGCAAAAAAAAAAAAAAAAAAAAAAGAATGTTTACAGACATACTTATCAGGTGCTGACTAGGTGCTGGGCACTGAGGACACAGCAGTGAACCACCACCACTGGGCCCTGCCTTACGGAGCCGATGCCATGGAGGACAGTGGAGCAGGGCTGGTGAAGGCGTGAATCAGTGCTGAGCAGTGGCTTCCCCAACTAGTGTCCACAGCATCACAGAACCACCAACAAACTCCTTGTGGCCTGGCCTCTGCTAGCCCCATCACCCCAGGGACCAGCAGAGTCTAAGTGTCATGGTGATGGTAACAGTGGCAGCAGCCCCTAGGACCGCACCATGTAGCGGCTGCAGGGCCCTGGATGGGCACGCCCTCAGCCTCAGTCTCATCTATAAAGTGGGCTAAACAAGGCTGGCATGGCTGCTGTTGGCATCAATGAGACAGGAAGTCAGCAGTTCTCAAACGCTTGTCTCAGGACCCCTTTATGCTCTGAAAAGTTGGCAAGTCCAAACAGCTACTGTTTCTGTGGATTACATCTACTGATACTGACTGTAATTTAAGGCCTAGAAACTTAAAATATTAATTCATGTAATTATTAACTTACAATTTTTTTTGTGTGTGAGGAAGATGGGCCCTGAGCTAACATCAGCCAATCCTCTTTTTGCTGAGGAAGACTGGCCCTGTGCTAACATCCACGCCCAGCTTCCCCTACTTTATATGGGACGCCGCCACAGCACGGCTTGACAATCGGTGTGTCGGTGTGCGCCCGGGATCCGAACCAGCGAACCCCAGGCCGCTGCAGCGGAGCATGCGCACTTAACTGCTTGCGCCACCGGGTTGGCACCAACTTACGAATATTTTTTAATGAAAACTGTATTTTCCATTAAAATACATATTTAGCAAATTTTTGCAACTCACTTCACTCTCTGGCTTCTGCACTCTCTGCTTCTGCACGCAGTCCCCCAAGAGCTCCCTCAGTAGCCTCACAGACACATGGAGTTAGAAAAGCGAAGAGTGTTCTGTCACCTTTCTCACAACTGTGAAATTCTGCCCAATTCTACACCAAAGCTGGACAGGAGGTCTCCCTGCAGGTCAGTGACGATGGCCGCTCTACTCTGCCCTGCGCCTGCAGGGCCTTGGACCCCGAGTGACTTGGTAGCACCCTCACCGGCCGTTGGAATGGGAAGTGTCCCCAAGTCAAGCAGAGCTTCCAAAGGCTGACACACCTCACAGACATCTGTTACCACCATGGATCTCATCAGAAAAGCCGCTCAGCATTAGGAACACTTAGTCAGCTCATATTAGGGGACATAAGTTTTCCAAAATTCTAATTTTTGTTTGAATCCTCATCACAGGTGAAAAATACTGTCAGTTGTTGTCCTTGAAGCCACAGGCTTGCTTCGATCATCTTTGGAAAACGCCTGCCAAACACCCCAGTCTGAATGACTGCAGTATGTCCACGAGTCCTTCCTTCAAGCACCTGCCAAGTGTCTTAGAACTATCTCGGCACACACAGCATCACAGGACGTGCACTCAAGGGTTTAATAAAATGAATACTCTTCACTTCTGCATCTGGGTGGTGCTTGCCTCAAGCATGTGGCGGTGACAACACATGGCATTTTGCAGCACCTTCCCGACTCGCGCCAAGGCACCAGCCAGCCCCCCAGGGTTGCTTCTGCACCATTGGCGCACATGTCAGCACAGTGAACGGGCACACAATGACTCAGGGTTACTATGAAAGTAACTCTAGGGGGCCGGCCCCGTGGCTTAGCGGTTAAGTGCGCGTGCTCCGCTACTGGCGGCCCGGGTTCGGATCCCGGGCGCGCACCGACACGCTGCTTGTCCCGCCATGCTGAGGCCGCGTCCCACATACAGCAACTACAAGGATGTGCAGCTATGACATACAACTATCTACTGGGGCTTTGGGGAGAAAAAGGGAAAAAAAAGGAGGGGGATTGGTGATAGATGTTAGCTCAGGGCCGGTCTTCCTCCGCAAAAAAAGGAGGACTGGCGTGGATGTTAGCTCAGGGCTGATCTTCCTCATACACGCACACAAAAAAACTAACTCTGACCTCGGTCTTGCAGACCCAGGGCCCAGGCTTTGAGAAATACAGAGAAAGGAGGGACTGGGAGGGGCGCTTGGCTCTGCTGCCTCCTTTCTATGTGCCATGTGTGCTGAGCCCCTGGGGTGAATTCTTGTGTATGAACTCTGAATTTTAGGAGGATGTGGGCTGCTCCTCGCCCACAACCCAAGGACGTCCCACATTCCAGAGTGGACATCTGTCCCACTGACCACAGTACCTCTCTGAGGTGCCCCCCGACCACTGAAATAAGTGGTCACTACATGACGCCACTTAGGAAGGCAGTGACAGTGGATTTCGTCTCCCAGGCCGTGCTCCCTCCAGGCACCCCCTCTGGCCCTAGCGTTACCTGCAGTGACACCATTCTGAAGAGAGCCCTCATAGAAGATGTTGGATGGGAAGGCGCTGAGCGCAGGGTGCATCCGATACTGGACCTGGAGGCGGATGGGACGGATGCCCAGCACCACCAAGCGCTCGAAGAGCGACTGGGACAGCCCGGCCTTGGCCGCCTTCTTGCACATCACGACAGGGCCCAGCTGGCAGTGGTCGCCCACAAGGATCAGCTGCGGCAAGAGGCCCACACAGGTGAGAAGCTCAAGCACCAAACAGCCTAGACATCCACTCGCAGGGACTAAGGGGCCCTTCATCCATATAATCACCCAGCCACGTGAATCCAAGAGTAAGACACTGACCAGGTATGGGAAAATCGCCCACCACACACACCAAACACAGACTCGCACTCACGAGCCACATGGAGAGGCACTCCGTGCAGCGCCCACCCTTCAGAGACCCCCTCAAAGGGCTGGCTGTGCATCCCGCTATGCTCTGCCAGGGTGTCACACAGCATTATGGGACATTTTAAAAAACGAACTTCCAGATTAAGAATTAGAACAGAAAAGAACACAGACTAGGTTTCAAATGAGACTACAGCAGATGCAACATGGCCCACCTGCTTGGCTCCAAGGACCACAGGGACCATGCACTCCGGTTCAGTGGCCTGGGTGCTTTCGTCGATTAAAATGGAACGGAACTGCATCTTGGCGAGCCTTGGGTCACCTGCACCCACACACGTGCAGCAGATGACATCCGCGTTCTGGGGAAGAGAGTGTACGAGGTGTCACGGCCCCTACAGGTGGACGTTACCAGGCCCCAGAGGGCAGGTGGGACAGGACGCAGACACCATTCTGATCCACACTTTCCCCAGCAACTGTGGAAACAAGCTGTCCCTCCCTGACAACATCTATGTCCAGGCTGTGGTGACACTAACTTTTGAGATCCTAAGTGGCTGTGCTTCATTGGAGAAAACCTCTCAGCACAGAATCGGTTCGGTGCCTCGAGCCAGCCTCCGAGGGGCAGTGCTGAGCTGGGGAGACCCATACCCGGGCTGAGATCCACTTCTGGTTGGTTGGTTGGTTATGAAAGAGCAGGAGGGAGCATTCCAGACGCAACCTGGGCATGTGGACCAGGTATCCCAGCTCCCAGCAGCAGGGAGGCTGGCAGGGAGGTGAAACTACCTCCAAAATCATGTGTTTCAGGTAGCCAAGTATCTCTAATTTCTTCACCAAGGAGAAGACAAACAAAGGAGGCATCAAAGTTCTCTTCTCAAAAGTGGAACAACAAGCTAACTAAAGGGGCCATCATACGCTTAATATATCTAAACAGGTCCTCCGGCCAAAATGAACACACCAAAGCCCCAAGGCCCCAGGCCTGTTTCCTGGCGCACGCCAGGTAGGAGCTCACCATGAGCAGCTCCCTCTCAGCAGTGCGCTTCAGGGCCCGGTAGCGCTTCTCGTCCGCAGACGACAGCTCCCCAGTCTCGTCCTTCAGCTGCTGCAGCTTCTGCAGCTCCGGCATGCTGGAAGCACAGGGGCACGTCAGTGAGCACGGGAGGGTGCGCCACCAGGGCCCCGCACAGCGCCATGACTGAACAACTGACTTACAGGGACAGTCTGGAGGCCAATTACCCGACACCCACCTATCCATGTTCCTGATCTGGTTATGCAGGGCCAGGAACGACACCGGGGAGTCGATGGCCTCGCGGCTCTTGGCACAGAGCCGCACGACTTTCAGTCCGGTCTGGTGGATCTTCTCGGTCAGCTGATCCACGGCTATGTTACTCGGAGCACAGACAAGCACAGGCCTTCAACACAACATAAGTGCACACCTCAGTGCTCGCCAGAGGAAGTTCAGGAAATGCTAATTAGCCAAGGCTATTGCTTTGAATCACAGGCAGTGGAGCCAGTGTGCCATCTAAGACTAAAGCCAGGAATGACACAATGCTGAAGGAGCTAAAACCCAGCCGGGCTGGAGCTTCCTGTCCCACGCCCAGTTTTCACTCCACTCACGCAAAGCACTGCTAGTTGACTGAGTCCCGTGTCCTCAGCCTCCTGTGTGCACCGTGAAGATGTCCTAAGCTCCGGGATGTGCCCAGGCACAGCACAACCCACAATGCACCAGCCCACTGCTGCCTTTACCAGAGCTGCAGGCTTGCTTGTTACAAGCAACCACAAAGGCCAGATTTAAGACAAATACTGTACAACGCAGCATGCCAGGTAACCAAGCCCCAAAGACACCGGCATGCCCGTAGCCCGGCAGACAGGGCTCCTCTCTCACCACCTGGGCACTGCTGAGCCCTACCCGTTGCCTTGTCGGGCCAGATGATAGACGATGGTGGCTGAGGTCACGGTCTTCCCCGTGCCCGGTGGTCCCTGGATCAGGCTCAGTGGTCTCTGCAGCACAGTCTTCACGGCGTAAACCTTCAGGTACAAGTGGCCGTTAAGGGTGCAGACGCCCCGGGGGGCTGCCCACCCAGTGGGCTCTGCGGCCCAGGCCCCTTCAGCCCCTGGACGGGCAAGAACCTGCGAGTGGTTGAGGTCAGGTAGCCCCTGTGCCGTGAAGCGCTTCGGCAACTGGCACTTGATGATCACGTCCTCCACCTCGTGGCCAAGCAGTTTGTGGTAGATGTAGCCTGACACGGACGTCTCGTCCACGGCAAAGGTTTTCAACGCACTCTGCATCCTACAAGGAAAGCTCCAGGTCAGTAACAAGCACCACTGTGGAGCAACAGTGAAGACCTGCTCCTGTGACGTAGAGAATCATCTAGAAGGTAGGGGCAGTGGCCACGCCAATAGCAGGTGACTACAGAGCAGATGCAGCAGTGCCTCTGGGGGAAGGCAGACATACCTATCGAATGAGGTTGACTTCCACACGAAATCCACCTGGAAGTTATGAGTCACCTCCACAGGTGCGCCCACACTGCTCCGAAGCTCAATGGCGATCTCATCACCATAATCTGTGTCCGAGTTAAGTGTCATTCTTATCAAAAGCCAGGCTTACCTTTCTGAGGCACCCTCATTTGCTTACTTAGGAGAGACCCCTCTTCTGTGCCAAAAGCTAAAAGCGCAGCCAGTGAGGCCTGCGCTCGCCTGCGATTCTGCCCATGGTGCCCAGCCCCACTGCAGTCAGCCCCCGCACTCTCCCTGTGAGCCCTGGGGCATCACCCAGTGCCCGGAACGAAGCGGCCACGTCCAAGGCCTGGGTTCTGACTGTGAGCTTCTGCAGAGCCCTTGGATGCAGAGCTGGGAGCACTCTGGCCACAGGCAAAGCAGCTCTTCTATCAGTTTATACAAAGGAGTGCTCTCAGAGAAAACTCAAGAGGGCTCAGGGCCTGACACAAACACGACTCAAAGGGGCCACCCCGGCCCGGTACATCCTCAGGCTGCGGCCATGAATGACAACCTTTCCTCCACTTGTGCCCCAAAACTGGTCTCCGAGGGGACCCACAGGCAAGTCTCCTGTGCTCAGGTCGAGCTCAACAGAGGGCTGGGCAGAGGGTGGCTGTGGGGTCAGGCACCAGCACCATTAGCCGACCATGAGGAGAAGGCTGAGGTCAACCTGCCAGTGTCGAGGCGCCTTCTGGCTCTAGGCCCTTCTCCCAGGAAGTCTCTTCCATGGTGCGCCCCCACCCCACTGCATCCAACAGTGTCTGTGCCACGTGAATGCTATGAGTCCAGCCACCCTGGCCAGCACATTGGACCACCCAAGGTCACAGCATGCCTGCGCTCCAAGTACCTAGACACAAACCCCAGACTTCTCAACCCCTGTGCCTATGCATCAGCTTCCAGGTGAGGGTCTCCAGAGCCAAACTAACCTGGGAGAGTCAGACCTAGGAGCCGGTGGGG